TTGGGTACAGTTCTCTCATACTGGCCACTGGATATTCAACATGGCACCTCATGGCGAAGAACTCTCTGAGGATGTGAGAAATAGAATTGTTGCTCTCCACAAAGATGGCCTAGGCTATAAGAAGATTGCTAACACCCTGAAACTGATCTAGAGCATGGTGGCCAAGGTCATACAGCGGTTTTCCAGGACAGGTTCCACTCGGAACAGGCCTCGCCAGGGTCGACCAAAGAAGTTGAGTCCACGTGTTCAGCGTCATATCCAGGGGTTGGCTTCAAAAAATGGACGTATGAGTGCTGCCAGCATTGCTGCAGAGGTTGAAGAAGTGAGAGGTCAGCCTGTCAGTGCTCAGACCATACGCCGCACAATGCATCAACTCAGTCTGCATGGCCGTCGTCCCAGAAGGAAACCTCTTCTGAAGCTAATGCACAAGAAAGCCCGCAAACAGTTTGCTGAAGACAAGCAGTCCAAGAAGTCCATGGATTACTGGAACCATGTACTGTGGTCTGACGAGACCAAGATCAGGCTCAGATGGTGTACAGCATGTGTGGCAGCGCCCTGGTGAGGAGTGCCAAGACAACTGTCTCTTACCTACAGTCAAGCATGGTGGTGGTAGCATCATGGTCTGGGGCTGCATGAGTGCTCCCTACTAGGGAGCTGCGGTTCATTGAGGGAAACATGAATTCCAACATGTACTGTGACATTCTGAAGCAGAGCATGATCCCCTTCCTTCGGAAACTGTGCTGCATGGCAGTTTTCCAACACGATAACGACCCCAAACATCTCCATGATGACAACTGCCTTGCTGAGGAAGGTGAAGGTAAAGGTGATGGACTGGCCAAGTATGTTTCCGGACCTAAACCCAATTGAGCACCTGTGGGGCAGGAAGGTGGACGAGCGCAAGGTGTCTAACATCCACCAGCTCTGTGATGTCATCATGGAGGAGTGGAAGAGGATTTCAGTAGCAACCTGTGCAGCTCTGGTGAATTCCATACCCAAGAGGGTTAAGGCAGTGCTAGATAATAATGGTGGTCACACGAAATATTGACACTTTGAGCACAATTTGGACATGTTCACTGTGAGGTGTACTCACTTGTGTTGCCAGCTATTTAGACATTAATGGCTGTGTGTTGAGTTCAGAGGACAGTAAATCTATACTGCTATACAAGCTGTACACTGACTACTTTAAGTTATGTCCAAGTTTCTTTTCTATAGTGTTTACCCATGAAAAATATAATAAAATATTTGCAGAAATGTGAGGGGTGTACTAATGACTTAATGACTATTCAAAACATGCTAAAATGGTGTTTAAAAAAAATCAGTTCAGAAAATGACAAATATTGGATGATCACTCAGTATTAAATCATTTGCATGATTAAAAAATTATTGGGGTATTACAATCAGAACCTTGTTTATATTCAACTGGAGAGGGGAGCTGCTGTATGAATAACTGGAGCGTGTTCCAGGTCTGCGTGGTGCTGCGGAACAGTGAGTTCTACCAAAAGCCTTGGTTTTATAAAAAACTGAGCACTGACAATGGCAGTAACTCTTCAGCAGTCTTCTAATGAAAGCTTGGCATCTCTTGTCCTTAAGCTTGACCCTTTTGAACATTGTTACATCAGTGTTCTTGTCCTTTCCTTCATACTTGCATTGATATTGATGTGCATGCATTGGCTGTGTGTTCACACTCCAGTGCTCCCCCTCCCTCCTAATTCTGATGAAAACGCTCAAAGCAATGGGCGAGAGCGAGGCCCGGGCATGGAGCTGGGGACAGGAAAGCTGCTTTAAGGTGATTTAGAGGCGTCTGTCCCAGCATCCGCTGCCTTCCTATGGATTTACTGTGATAGCGGAAGACTGTGGCCATAACCCTGCACAAGCTGCGGGGAATAAGCGCCATTAACGTTATCGTATAAGTTATACCACGTCCGCACACTATGTCAATACTCATATATCCAGCTTAATAAAAGGCACGAGTGTGGAGGCCTGGATCTTTTAGATCTTTAAGCCACGTAGCGAATATATAACCATGCAGGTTGACGCTGGAGACTTGGAGAAGACTTTCAATTCACAGTCAGTTATAAGAGGAGGATGAGTGAGTGCTATTGAAATGCTTTGGAGGAATTTGAGGCCTCGATAAGACACACACATGGCATTAAAGGAGGTGGGAGAGTGGAATGATTGCCAGCTTTCATGGCAGCAGAATGCACCCCTTAAAGGAAAATTCCAGCGTTTTTCAGCCTAATCTCTGTATACCACATCTGTAGTGTACGCTCGATTACCCCAATCCACAGAGAATAATTTGAGCTTTTCCCTGTACTTAGAGAAGAGCAAAACCCTGTTGACTTCAAATACACACAGTTCCAGAAATCTGTCAGTAAATGTTTATGCAAAACATAATTTTGTTTAAGATTTTCACCAAAGTTTTCAGTCAGTGGTATTTGGAAATTAGTATTTAAATCTGTATATTTTGTTCTTTCAGGCTGAGACTCGTTTTCCAGTGGGGATGTGCACAGGTACTCTAGTACTCAGTTAACCATTTGGGACATTTGGGAATTTAGTATATTTGCTTTTCATCACATGAACACCCAGAAAATGTTTAGACAAACAATGCAATGAAGCTGTGACTTTGTTTTAATGGAACAGTAAAACATGAACATTTTGCTCATATTTGCTAATGAAAGTGCATTCACATTATCTCAGCAAAAAGGTTTTGCGTGCGTCTCGTCCATTTGCTTTCAGTGTTTAGTTGTAGCCTAGCTGTTAGTTGTTAGCTGTTAGCTCATCCCACTGCTATTTTTGGATAACAAAAATTAGTTTGAAACAAATTCCTGTACGTGACGCAACATTTTTTTTGCTGTCACTTAAAAAGGTAAGCACAGCTCTACATAAATTTCAGCCCATTGTTTTTTTCTTCTCCATGGTTAACCAGATAGCCATTCAAAAACCTCAAATGGTCTGAATGCACATCCCTATTCCAGCGACAAGAATTTGTGGCAATGTATTACACATATGTTAACATAGTGCTATGGGTGTACAGAGATTCCTTATAGGAAACAGTAAGGAACAAAACATAAAAACAAAATGATTCAAACAAATTGAAATTCAGTCCTTTACATTGTATGAAAGTTTATGATGCATAGACCAACAGAAGTGCTTCAGAATAAAACTTCATGTTAATTTACAGTAACGGGTAAGAACATTTTGGCCTGCTTCTGTAAAGTTACTACCCCCAAACCTACCAGCTCTTGGAGGGCAAAGGCTAATACAGGCTTTCTCTGAGACCTGTGAAGCCAGCCGATGCATCTTTTTGAACTGCCGCTAACGCTAACATTGGATAGCTGAACCGCCAGTTCTGTTACGTCAGCTAACAGACGCCTGCGCTGGCTGGCATTGCTCTGAGTGATGGAGGGAGAGGGGGGACCATCTTACCCACCCAGAGAGCGAGGCCAATTGTGCTCTCTTGGACTCGTGGTCATGGATGGCTGTAGCATCACCAGGGATCGAACTCGCGATCTCCTGATGATAGGGCCAACGCTTAGACGGTTGCGCCACTCGGGAGCCTGTAAAATTACTATTTTGGAGATATGTTTTTAAATCTTTGGACAGTGATTGGTTGCATTCAATTCAATTATGTTACTTTGGTATATAAAAGTTGCATTAAACTTCATAGCAATGGTTTTCATAAGACATTCTCTCATGTCTGTCTAATCCAAAACTACTATTAGGGTGTAATGAGTGTAGTTGCAGATTTGCGCCACGCATTTTAAACATTAACTGACGGAATTTAGCAACTGGCCATTTGCTTCTGTTATTAGCGAGCTTTGTTCGTGGTAATAGACCATGCACTACAGAGATAGATAGATAGTGGTTGAAAAGATAGAGATTAGGTAAAAAAAAAAAAGCACTAAGCCATTATCATTACTGTATGGATTGTTGGGCAAATGAGAATTACTGCTGAATTACTGCTGGAACTTTTCTTTTGTACCTTCAGCTAATATGTCAGTGTCACAAAGAGTATGTAATCTTGCGCTTTTGCTTTGTGACGCTCCAAGGCAGAGTGTCCAGGAGACAAACCTGCCATTGGCATTATGCACTTGTGTCCACAAGAGGCTTTTATAAAGCGTGCGCACACACAGATACCCTGTCTGTGTGTTTGACACCTTTCAGGCATTTTCAGACCCACTCATCTTTTTCTCGTTCCGCAGACCGTCCTTTATGTCTGTGCGAGATGTGTAATTTTCAAAGCTCTACATGCTGTATTTAAGAACGCAAGCAACAATGACGTCTCAGCTTTTAGAGAGGTTCGAGAGAGAGAAGAAACGAAAGAGAAGCGAGCACATGGAAGGCCGGGGTGACTGTGCCCTAATGATGTTTTTCAGGTTTGCTTCTTTTTTTCCCCTGATTGCCTGTATTCTCACACCTAGAAAACTAACTCTCATCTCAGGGAAAAACAGGCATTACGAATTTCTAACAAGCCTCTCCAGCGGCTAATGGCTTAAGAAGAAAGGAAAGAAAGGGAGGTGGGGAAAAATATGCTCTGTACTTACCCCTCAGATTTTCTTGGAAATATTTTAAAGTGGTCCTAGGCTGTCAGAATCACAGAAAAGAGTGACTGTGCTAATGAGATCCCTCTTACTCTCCCTCTTGCTTTCAACAGCCTCTCTTATTCTCTCCTCCATTGCGTTCTCCTCTCTGCTTCTTTCATTTGCCCCCTTTCTTTCAGTTTCTCCTGCTCGTATTGCTAAGTATCCAAACGATGTTCTGCTGCTGTTCACTTTGCCTCTGCTACCTGCACTGTGACCTTCCATGCTTCTTGCTTTTCACTTATCTCTCTCTTGGTTGGCTCAAGCTTGTCCAAGATTGTGAACAGATCCTGCTCTGTGGGCTATGCACCAGTGAGCTTGTCTGGGATTGTCTGATATGTATGTTTGTCTGTCTGCTTGTGTATCTGTCTGACTGTCAACATCTCAATGTCATCTGTCTTTCTCTCTCTTCCCCTCCAGCAAGCGGTGAAGGAGAACGGGCGGAGGCGGGAGGCGGAGGAGAAGCAGAGGAGAGCGAGGGCAGCCAAAGAGAAGGCCGAGCGTGAGAAGCAGGAGCGGCAGCAGAGGAAGAAGAGGCTGTTGGAGGTCAATGCAGGTAAAAATTGTGCAACTTTCACATTCACATCATGTGAATATGCAACAAAAGAGAATGTGGGAAGGAAAGTGAAAAGAGGGCCTGGTGTGATTAGCTGTGTGTAGTATTCTGAGCGCATGTCACTAGGAGAAGCAGGCGGGCGAGACAGAGATTTGGTCTTATTTATCAGGTCATCAGTATAAAGTCTTTTCTTTACTGTTACCAAAGACTCTGTGTTCAGCAGGTATGAGCTTCCCTGTGTGCCAACATTTTCAGGACAAAAGTGTCCTGACTTTGTAAGAAAATGAGCTATGTGCAGTATGAGGAAAAATTAAATGAAATTTTTAAAAATGTATTTATTTATTTATTTGTTTATTTTAGTTAAAACAACACTGGTCATGTTTCAAATGGAGAGAGAACTCAGCTCCCTGGCATACAGGGTCTATACACTCCCCACCCAACAGCTCAACCCCTTCAAACTAACATAACAGAAACGGTGTATCCAGTATGCGAAATATACCCTGATATGTGGGGATTTCTTATGTTGTCTTGATGTCTTAATGTTTGGTTTAACCATTTTTCTTCTAGAAAATGTTTTTTTTTTTAGTTTGGTTTTGTGCTTTTTTTTTTTAATTAATTGAGATCTTGCACATAACTTCTTTTGTCTTTGGTTTGAGAAATAAGTAACAATTAACTCTTTCCACCAAACTCTTGGGAAATTGGGCAAGTTTTCAAATTTACAAATGTGCAGCGGCATATTGTAAAGTTTTTCAGAGGTATCCTGGGTATGGTTTCAGTTGCTAGGCTACGAAGAATTTTGATTTAGAGACATTCGGGGGGGTGCAAGAAGCTAATTAGGAGGTCCCAGACCCCCCAGAACCTCCATATTTCTTAGTTTGGGTGTATCCACAACCCAACTGGGACTGCAGAACCAGCCATAGTAGATTTAGGTAATAAGTAACTTTGAACGGAGACACACATTTTGTAACCTTAAGCAGGCACTCTTTCTAGCAGCTGAACACTGTTAGCTCGGTTATCACAGGCAGCCTACCTCAGCTTGGGTTTTCTGTTTCTGTCAAGTGTCCACAAAAACGTTGTGGATACTGACTGAAAAGTCCTTCTTACTGAAGTTGCTGTTCTAAATGTTTTGTGCTAGATGTGGTAGTGCCGATATAGCCATGCCCCCCACCAACTGAAAACATGTAGGAATCAAGATTCTGTATTAAAACAATTCAATATCTCTGGAATTATAGCGCAAAATGTCATGATTATAAGTTGTGAATGTTTATTTAGAGCTCTGGAAAATTGATCTAGACTATTTCACAGCCTGACTGGTCCCCTTTGAGTTTCAAATTCTGTATGAAGCCAAACATGTGTGTGGTTCAAGTGAGTGAGTATGAAAATTGTGTTACTGCCACCATGGACCATGGAGGCAGAAATATAAGCCTCTGTATGCACAGTTTGATCAGAATATGCTGAAATTTTCACCACAGTTGAGCTCAAATAGAGCTCAAAATTATTTGTTACGAAATAGCATGAGTAGAGCTACCTGTTGCTTTTTATTACTCACTTTAATAGCAAGAGGCAGGAACTCATTTGATTAAGGACCCTTTTGTAAGTAAGGTAGCTTGGTCTAGTCCAGCACACTGCAAACATATTCATTTCAAGCACCATTTCAGCAAGCCAGTTCCTGCTTGAGGACCCTCACTCATAAATGATTGGCAGACTGTTTCCTGCAAAACCTGCTGCAACAACTGGTTTTCCCTGATTGCTGTGGACCCCTGTCACTGCTTTACTTGACCTAGTTTGGGAACACTTGGACTAAAGCACAAAGGTTAAAGAACCCCGGCACTTAAAAGTTTGTCTTTTGAATAGTTAACTCTTCTTGGGTGGCTTATGTTATGGTTATATAGATTGATTTATATCAAATGTGTTTCCATTGAAAACACAGGTTTTCTCAGTACATCCAAAAACGCGATTTGTGAGGCGCTTTGTAGCAGTGTAGTTTTGTGTGTCACAAATGAGCTTGAACCTATTAGTATTCTAAAATATACTAAGTATTCCAATGAGAGGATGCGCAAGAGACAGCATGAGGTCAGTGCTTGGGCCCAAGTGCCGACAAGAGGCGGGGGAAGGGGCTTGAATGCAAGCTGCTAAAGCCAAACCAGCGCAGTTAAATATCAAAATGAAACAAAATGCACATCGCTAATATTGCCCACCTCTGTTTGGGATGCACTTCATAATTCTGTCCGTTTAGAGTCTGATTCTGAGGATTACAGTGCAGTTCCAGTGCTTCAGATGTGGTATCACGCCCTTACAGAGACACTGAACTGTGATGAAAGCGTGAATAGTGGGAGGCATAAGTGAATCCATGAACATTGTAGGGAATGATTGAGCTTGTTGTGTGCAACAGTAATGAAAGAGGCTGTTCAGCATTTCTACACACACAAACTCAAGCATCCATGAAAGGCAATAAGCAGCTATCTAAATGACTGAGTGGTGGAGGTAATAGAATAAAAAGAAGAGGAAATGATATTTGTGCTGTGATTTGGTTAGAGGATCAGCCAGTCACAGTATCAGCAAAAACAATTTCCCTGTTCTCTGTGCTGATGAGGCCTGTACTGCAATAAGATGAGCTGTAACATCTGATCGACTGATATATACACACACACACACACAAACACAGTATTAAGACAAGTGCACCCCTGCTGTTTTCTAAGAAGCAGGTATTTTCATTCATTCATTTATTTATTCATTCATTCTTTCATTCATTCATCCATCCATCCATCCATCCAGACACTTATTCCTTTATTTTATTTACAAATGTCAATTTCAAAAAAGTTGGGACAGTATGTGAAAAGCAAATTTCTACAGAAAGCCATGATTTATAAATCCACTTTGACCTGTATTCAAACAAAAGCAATACAAAGACAAGACATTTAATGCTTTACCCTATCATCCTTCATTGTTTTTTTTTATTTTATTTTTTGTAAATATACATAGTTTCATTTTGTAAGTGATGCCTTCAGCACATTCCAAAAACGTTGAGACAGGAGCAGTTTAAGACAGGGAATGTTGTGAACTATTCAAAAAACATCTTAAACAGGTGCAGTCATGCTTGGGTCTAAAAGGAGCATCTAGGAAAGGCCTAGTCCTTTATAAGCAAGCATCGGCTGAAGCATGCCATTTGGCAAAAAATGTGTGAACAAATATTCCAACAGTTTAAAAACAACATTCCTCAGCAAGCGATTGCAATGATTTTAGGTATTTCAACCTCTACAGTGCATAATCTCATCCAAAGATTCAAGGAATCTGGAGAAATCTTTATGTGTGAAGCACAAGGCCGAATAACACATCTGATTCCTCTTTCGATCCCTCAGATGGCATAACATTAAAAACATGCAGCTGTGATGAAATCACCACACGATCTTGAGAATACTTTGACAAACTGTTGTCATCATTCATTAGCGGAAACCATGTGTCAGCAATGTCCAGAAACAGCTTCTCTGGGCTCCAGCTCATCTGACACGGACTGATACACAGTGGAAAGTGTGTTGTGGTCTAATGAGTTTATTGTTTATGGAAATAATGGACATTGTGTTCTCTGGGCCAAAATAAAAAGAATCACCCTGATTGTTACCAGTGTAAAGTTAAATGGACAGGGTTTGTCATAGTATGTCATGACACTGTCAGCACCATCAAATATATGCACATTTTGGACCAACATATTCTGCCTTCTAGACGACGTCTTTTTCAGGGGCGTCCATGCTTATTTCAACATGACAACATTAAGCCACATTCTGCACGTGTTACAACCGGCCGGCCTGCAGTCCAAACCTGTCTCTCATTGAAAACGTGGCACATTAAGAAGCACAAAATATAACAATGAAGGACCCAGTCGATAGCGCAGCAAAAGACTTGAAAAACAGATGAATGGCAAAAAAGTTTACTTTTAAAAACTGGTGTCTTCAGTCTCCAATTATTGTTCAGACTCCAATTATCAGTCTCCAAGTGTTGTTAAGAGGAAGGATGATGCAACACAGTGGTAAACATGGTCCTGTTCCAACTTTTTTGTTGCAGGCAGCAAATTTGTAAAAAAAATAAGGTAAAACACCAAATATTGTGTTTTTGTACTGTTTTCAATTGAATACTGGTCAGAGATGAATTTTCTGATCTTTTGTTTTTGTATTTTATTAGTATTTTACATACTGGCTCAACTTTATTGGAATTAAGGTTTGTGTTTATTGTCTGTGGTGCATGCACGTGATGATAGAATGGATGGGCTCAGAGTTCATATGGACAGAGGGTGAGGACTACGATTGGCAAACCAAGGTCTGCTGTAGGAATGAGGAATAGACACATGCACACAGATCTGATGAGGCAGCACAAACTTCCTTGAAGCAAACTTGAACTTCTGAAATTCCAGTTACTGCAGTGTGGTGGGAGTAATTAAGAATTTTAGGTTTTTGTGTAGTGGCGGTACATCACATCAGGGCACACAGAGAGGGCAGATTAATGCCAACGATTGGTCAGAATTTGAATATAAAAAAAATAAATCAGCTAAGGTAGAATACAAGGCTCTGTACTCATATGCTTGGGCGTGCGGGAGAGATAGAGGGAGAGAGAAAGTTTGTATGTATTTTCAAAGCAGGCTAATCCTCAGTAGGAATGAGTCAAGGTTTTGTAAAGGACACTCAGTGAAGCTTCACTGATTCTGCTCAGCTCTTTTTAAATCAGATTCCAGCAGTTCTGTCCTTCCTTGAGAATAGATTGACTCTGTTGAATACCATGAATGCAAGGAAGCTTGCACTGAACAAAATGAATGATTTGCAGGTTTATTGATATGCTGCACCAGCCACTATAACACCATAGATGTAATCAAATGAGATATTTGAGCTGTCATACATGTAAACTCATTGCCTCGGGGCAAATTTTGAAAGATTAATGTGTTGTTTATGTGAAATGTATAGATTTTATGATTTTTTTTTATTTTGTCAGCAGAGAATTCTGAGGGAGAATCC